ATGGAAGACAGCTAATGTAGTCCCAATATAAAAAAGGGTGACAGCCAGAGGTTCTGAACTACAGGCCAGTTTCCCTAACATGTATACCATACAAGGTGATGGAGAAGGTCGTGAGGAAAAGGCTCGCAGAGCATCTGAAGAAAAATAGCTTTGTAGCACACCACCACCAGCAAGGGTTCAGAGATGGTAAATCGTGTCTTACGGGTTTAACAGAAATCTATGACAAACATTAGGCAAGAAAAAGAAGGGTGGGCAGACTGTATTTTGTTAGACTGTCAGAAAGCCTTTGACATAGTATCCCATACGAGAATGTTAGAAAAATTGGAGAAACAGGCAGGAATAACATGTAAGGTGTTTCATTGAATAAGATAGTATCTAATCAACATAAAACCACTGAGGTTTTTCTAGGAACCTCAAGTCCCTGGAAGACAGAAGTCTTAGGAGGAGACATGATCACCACCTACAAAATTCTCAGAGGAATTGACAGGGTGGACAAAGACAAACTATTTAGCATCAATGGAACACAAAGGGGCACAGATGGAAACTGAGTACTCAAAAGAGCCACAGAGACATTAGAAACAATTTTGTCAGTGCCAGGGTACTTAACAAATGGCAGTGATGTGGTGGAGGCAGACTCCATACACAGATTCAAATGTAAATATGATAGAGCCCAAGAAGCTAAGGAACCTGGACACCAGTTGATTGACAATTGAGAGGCGGGACCAAAGCCGAAGCTTAACCCCTGCAATCACAAGGTGAGTACCTCTCAACACTTTATCAACTGGTGTAAAACTTCAAGAGTCTATTGGGTTCTATCATATCTACATATAAAACTGAGTATGGAGTTTGCCTCCTAGTCTCCATATCACTTCCTAGTTCATCCCATTTATTAATTACTATGACACTAAAAAAAATCTTTAAAATGTTTCTGTAGCTCATCTGAGTACTTAGTTTCCATGTGTGTCCCCTTGTTCGTGTTCTACTCCTGATAAATAATCTGTCCTTTTCTGCCCTGTCTATTATTCTAAACTCTAAAGATTTTGTGTGTGGTAATAATGTCTCGCCTGTTTCTTCTATCTTCCAGCGAGGTAAAGTTTGACACCTGTAGTCTTTCCTCGAATCTGATACCTCTCAACTCTGGGACTAGTCTGCTGACAAACCTTTTTGTGTGGCATAAACACAAAGGTCTTCATTTTGTGTTGAACATGATAAGGACTCCAAGCTGATGCTCCATATTCCAGAACTGGTCTGACATTAACGATAAAAAAGATCCTGAATGACTTTTTGTTCAGATTCCTAAAGGCAGTTTTTATTTTGGCCAACCTTCCGTATGCAGCCGATGCTATTCTTTTGATGTATATTTTATATGTATTCTTCTGATGGCAGGTTGGGTAATATCAACCACCAAGTTTTTTCTTTGTCCGAATACAATAGGATATCCTCTCCCGTGTTGTTCATATTTAAAATCTTATTATATATCCCCTTTGTTGTGCGTTGTTGCTGTTGTTAAAGATTTAGCTATTCAGGACGGAGTGTCCATGTAGCACGGGCTATGGTGAGCCCGTAATTGAGTTTGGTTATACATGATAACCTTTTTCCTGTGATATTTAGGTCTAAGTTTAAAATGGAGGAGAGGACTTCTCCTTTTTCCCTGCTTATTTGTCGCTTCTGTTTTATTGCACTGGTTTTAATCTTGTTTTATTAACATTATCTTGGTGGCGGATGTAGATGCAGAATGCTCACTAATGAGTCCCATTCCTCAACAGCTTTTCTAATCATTGTAGTCGCGGTGGAATGTGCATCTAATGCAGCTGCTGTCGTTGGATTAATGTTGAGTTTGATGCGCAGGGGTTCAGTAGCTTCACATTCCAGTAAGTAATGCAATAGCGGCGCCTCTGCCTCAGTTTCACAGATGTGACACTCTTTAACTATTGGGTTCCTTACCTCCCAGCAGCACTTGTACCCAAGTCTGAGTCTGTGTATGGCTACTGCAATGTCTCTGGATATCTTTTTGCCAGGCTTGAAAGAGGAGTAACCAGTGGCTTGTTCATGCCATATCGCAGTGGATCTTCCTCTACTTTGGCTCTGTGGCGACTTTTGATTGTTGAGAATTTTTTCTTCTTGATTTGCTCCTTTATCTGTGAGAAACTTGGAGGTATTTGAACCTGTACAACAGGTAGAGCAGTGGCAGTTTTTGCTAGTGAGTCTGCCTTTTCATTACCCTCTATGCCAATGTGACTTGGTATCCAATTTAGGGTGATTGACAGCCCTCGATTATGGGTATCTTTTCCTATATGTTGAATTTCTGTGAGGAGTTGTATATTATCTCTGTGCTGGCTGGATAACAATGCCTGGAGCGAAGATTTAGAGTCTGTATGAATGATGACATCATGTAAATTATTCTCAATTGTATAGTTTATTGCCTCCTTCAGGGCATATAATTATATTTGCAATGTTGAGCACCCACTATTCATGCTCCAGTAAGCTTCATGGTTGGTAGTGTAAACTGCTGCCCCAGCAGAACCTCTTTCTTGATCAACTGATCCATTTTTACTCTGAGGTTCTCATTCTCATTCTTGACTCTCTGGTACTCCTTTTTGTTGTTCTCTTGTTCTTGTAGTTTTTCCAAGCCTTCGTGCTTATGCGCCATGCTTTCTTACGTTTAAGATTAAACAGTGGACTTGCCCTCTGTCTTTCATTGTTCTCCCTCTGGAGAGTGACAAATTTTCCATCTGCCTTCCAACATTTATCGTTGAAGATGTCCATCGTTTCCTGTGGAGACTTCCTCCCTGAGTTCTATCTCCCATTATTAGGAGCTATTAGGAGGACAGGTTCTTTACCTAAAGTCAAAACCTGTCGTACAAGAAAACGGGAGCGGCTCGCGAAATTGACATACTGTCCTGTTTTCTATTCGAGGGTCCTCTGGTAGGTTTGGATAGGTCACTTTAGCATAACAGTTTCCAGACATTGGGAACGCTGGCGAGAACGAGATGAAACTTCATGGTAACCTCATATCCTCGTAACCTCAACCTCGTAACAATGTATTCTGGACAACTAGAGAGGTTGTTATGATTTGTTTGACCAGGTGGAAGTTTGTCCTGTGATTACTTACAAGAGGCGTCCACTCCCAAGTAACTGTATGTCGACCTGTATGGTTACTGAAACGTCCAGTGGGAGCTCCAGGAGTGGACCTAAGCAAAATAATAAATATACTTTAACAATCACAAAGATCTTCATGTCATGTCGTTTAAGGTGTAATGATTAAATTATTAACATAAATCATTAGTCCCCCTGGCATTACTGTAGTAATCTTGGCTTGAACGGTTTTTTTTCAAATAAATAAATAAATCACAAATCCTTATGACATTTCTAAGGTAATAAATACTTCAAACTTCGTTAGAACAACAATACAATAAGTCATGACATCAATAACAAATTCTGCAAAGACATTTACTTTAGTTTCTATTAAATACAAAGTATTCCTAAAGCTTTCTGAGAGCGTCGTCGTCCCTATAGTTAACTAAACACACAACCAGACCCTAGCCAGTCCTAAGACACTCTGCCCGTCGCTGACTGACCCGGCCACACACAATCTTCGGCAAGTAATATCGTGCTCTGGGCAATTCATAATTGTGTTCGTGAAGTAATTTAGTAACCTCTTGCTCTGACCAAGTCGTATTTTAGATACTTTAATAACCTCTTGTTCTGTCCATGTCGATCGGACTTGGAGGGACAGAAATTTGTAAAGCAACACAAGTGGCACTACGGACATTTTTCTCTTCATATATCAGCAACGCTTGAAAATGCATCTGAAACGAATAAAGTCCCTTGCTTTACTGTAAAAGCTCCTTATGATGGGAATCTGATATTCGCTTTTTATAACTACACCGTCGGAACTCACCTCACCCATTACTCTTACCTATATTGGTGAATAAGCCCTTCACCTTGCTGCCCCTATCCACAGTGAACGCTGGTGTAGCTGTGCCAGTGCATCGGTAACCTGTACGCCCACAAAAGTCTGATATATTGTAAATCACAGCGGAAGATTGTAAGACATGAAGATGTCAATTATTCCATCAAAGTAATCGCTGCCCGATCTCCGTCACGAAGAGAATCACACGCACTAATTTAGATTAGTTTCATGTTGCATATTTGAGCCAATTGTCATGAGACAGGAAAATTATTGATGTGAATTCCAAATGAAATGAATATCCAGTGAAAAGAGTACAGTGACCAGAGAAGGAGTTGGCTTTTTAAACAATAATAAAAAAAACACGTTGAATAGAGCACAAACCGCCCCACACCACTGACTGACCAAGGTACAGCTATACTAGATGAACTAACAAACAATAATGGTGGTTGTGGCTCTCACATTTGGACCAGAAACGCTGGCAAACAATGCAGGGAGGTGTGGATCTCACAGACGGAGCAGAATCCCTAGCAAACAAGGAAGGAGGCACAATACCTCCCAGACGGAGCAGAAGCACTAACAAGGAAGGGGAGGCATAGTGCCTCATAGGTGCAGCAGAAACACTAACAAACAGGGAAGGGGGGGGGGGGAATACAGTACCACACAGACGGAACAAAACACTAACAAACAGAGAAAGGGGGGGGGGAGGCACAGTACCACACAGACGGAGCAAAACACTAACAAACAGGGAAAGGGGGGGCACAGTACCTTACAGATCGAGCAGAAACACTAACAAACAAGGAAGGGGAACGGGGCACAATACCTCACAGACGGAGTAGAAGCACTAATAAACAAGGAAAGGGGGGCCACAGTACCTCACAGACGGAGTAGAAGCACTAATAAACAAGGAAAGGGGTGGGGGCCACAGTACCTCACAGACGGAGTAGAAGCACTAACAAACAAGGAAGGGAGGAACCACAGTACCTCACAGACGGAGTAGAAGCACTAATAAACAAGGAAAGGGGGGGCCACAGTACCTCACAGACGGAGCAGATGCACTAACAAACAAGGAATGGAGGAGCCACAGTACCTCACAGACGTAGGGGTCCTCGTCGGAGCCGTCGCTACAATGTTTTGCGGAGTCACACACAGAGGTGATGGCGATGCACTGACTGTCCCTGTGACACTCAATCTCTGAAGTGGAGCTGCACCTTGCCTCCGTTTCTGCCGGGAGAAAAAGATAAGCATCCTTAAAATATCCTCACTACAATGCTTTAAATCATGTATATACTTACCTAGATGATTTGTCGTGCTAACTCCAGCTCTTATGACCCGCTTCCCATACTTCAGTCGATAGGTAAACAGGTTCTAGAACCTTTGGGGGGATGTCATGTCTACCTATGAAAATGTGATTGTGAATTTCCTCTTCTAACCCTAAAGCAATACCTTATATCAATGTGCATGTGATTCATTCAAGAACTTTGATTACTTCCGTATTCATCTTATGTTAAACAGCCTGCCTCTGCCCGGCTTTTACATACTTTCCTAAATATTTTATGTCGTAATTATATTAATCGTGTATCATCACTAATGCCTCTCAGCTCTGGGACATATCTGGTGGCATAACTCTGGATTTTCAATTGTATCTGACACAAAATGGTCTGTACGCTAATGCCATGAATTCCCTAACTGGTCGTATATGTATGGTTCTTAGCGGGGGAACCCGGTTGAACCCGGGTCTTCCCCATCCTATATCCCAGTCCCTATCTCACTTCTCTTTACTTAACACCCCCCTACTTACCTGACCCCCATCCAACCCTCTCCTCTCTTACCCTCTCATTTTATCTCTACAAATATCCGCTCTGTTGCCAGGATTTTCTTCTTTCTCTGGAAATATATTATACCGAAGCACTAAAATTGATAAATAAGTGTACTTCATAAAAAAATCTCAAGGGTAAAGAGGGTCTAGATGCCGATATTTCATAAAGTGTGGCAGTGAGGCCGACCTCGACTGCCATTAACACGCATACCCTGGGTCTTCATGTGTGAAACCCCTCTCTCACCTCTCTTCCCATCTTCTTGGTAATGCCTATGAACAGCTACTGGTAACATCCCAGCACACTGATGATTTTTGCTTCACTGTGACTCTGTATTCTATTCTCTGTATTCACAGAACACCGTAGCACCTTGCACTTCACTCTACCCTGCCTCTGCATTAGCAGCACTAGTGTGGGAGACAATAATGATCTGTGGAGACTATGCTGTATTAAGGGGGTACTTTGGGATATTATGAAGAACTAAGAGGTACTTTGAGATATTATGAAAAACTAAGGGGTACTTTGGGATATTATGAAGAACTATGTGGAAATTTTGGGATATTATGAAGAACTAAGGGGTACTTTAGAATATATTGAAGAACTAAGGGGTACTTTGGGATATTATGAAGAACTATGTGGTATTTTGGGATATTATGAGGAACTAAGGGGTACTTTGGAATATTATGAAGAACTAAGGGGGTATTTTGGGATATTATGAAGAACAAAGGGGTACATTTGGACATTAAGAAGAACTTAGGGGTACTTTGGGATATTATGAAGAACTGAGAGGTACTTTGGGCTATTATAAAGGACTAAGGGATACTTTGGGATATTATGAAGAGCTAAGGGGGTACTTTTAGATATTATGAAGAACTAAGGGGTACTTTGGGAAATTATGAAGAACTAAAGGGTACCTTGGGATATTATAAAGAATTAAGGGGTACTTTGGATATTTTGAAGAACTAAGGGGTACTTTGGGATATTATGAAGAACTAAATTGTACTTTGGGATATTATTAAGAACTAAGGGGTACTTTGGGATATTATGAAGAACAAAGAGGTAATTTGGGACATTATGAAGAACTGAGGGGTACTTTAGCATATTATGAAGAACTAAGTTGTACTTTGGGATATTATTAAGAACTAAGAGGATCTTTGGGATATTATGAAGAACTAAGGGGAACTTTGGGATATTATGAAGAACTAAGTTGTACTTTGGGATATTATTAAGAACTAAGGGGTCCTTTATGATATTATGAAGAACTAGGAAGTACTTTGGGATATTATGTAGAACAAAGTGATACTTTAGGATATTATGAAGAACTAAGGGATACTTTTGGATATTATAAAGAATTAAGGGGTACTTTGGGATATTATGAAGAACTATGCAATACTTTGGGATACTATGAAAAACTAAGGGGTACTTTGATATATTATGAAGAAGAATAAGGGATACGTCTGGATATTATGACGAACTAAGGGGTACTTGGGGATATTATGAAGAACCAAGGGGGTGCTTTGGGATATTATAAAGAACTAAAGGGTACTTTGGGATATAATGAAGAACTAAGGGGTACTTTGGGATATAATGTAGAACTAAGGGGTACTTTGGGACACACTTTCGCGCTCCCAGCAAACGATAAAAAAAACTTTTCCCTTGTACGCGCGGCGTTTCGGGCTCTGGAGCGGCAACACCGAAAACTGTATACTCTTTTCACTGTCCTGACATTAATTTTTGATGTACGTATTTCATTTTTATACCAATGTGTTCGCAACAGAATGTTCTAGAAGAACACATGTATAAAATGTCACCAAAGCATGAGTTAGACCAGCACCAAATAAAGAACTACGTCGATCACTAGCCATGAGCTCCTAACAGCGACGAAATGTTTCTATTCTTTCAGGGTAGTCAACTCCACACTTGTCCTACAGCGTTAAATTTGTTATCACTGAGATCGCAATAAAATTCCGTACACGGACATATGCAAGTTTGGCCACCAGCTAAGGTCGGCTTCACCTCGACAGCGTTTTGATCAGTGTGGCTTTGGGTGCAGGGAGAGGACATCATCTCCAGGGGAGATCGGCCGTAACATCTGCTGAAGTGTTTAAAGATATTACGGTAAAGTGCTTTATTAAGTTTTAAGTGTATTTGTGTATTCCCGATTCCTTGCCTCTAGCATAATTTAGGAACATTAGATAGGAAATGTTACTAAACTGTTCCTAAGGATTAGTTTGGGATAATATAGTGAACTACGGGGAACTTTAGTACCATATGGTTACCTAAAAGGTCCTTTTGGAGAGAATGATAAACTAAGATGTACATAAATACACTAGGATCGACTACAGGGTTCTCTGGAGACGTTGATAAATTAGGTGGTATTTTGAGATTGGTGATCTACTAGGCACTTTGGAATACTATAAATATCTACTAGGTACTTTTGGATACTATAATGAGGTACTTTGGGAAATTATGATGAACTTAAGTGTATTATGGTAGACCATGATAGACTATAATGGACTAAGAGGTACTATGGTAGACTATGATGGACTAGGAGCTACTATGGAACACACTGATGAACTACTAAATTTTTTTATATCCTATGATTAACTTAAATGTATTTGGTATATTATAATGAACTAAAGAATACTTTGGCAAACTTTAATTAACGTAAGGATACTTAGTGATTCTATGATGAGCTACCTGGAAGTTTTGGCTAGAAATTCCTGGAAGTACTCTCGACAATAGTGTCCTAACGCAGCCTTCTGCTCATCATTGGCTCAAAATGTACCATGTAACTCAACACAGTTTCGCAATGTAGCACATAGTTATCATGCTATCCCCAAGTACTCCTTAGCTCATCATAGTACCTCAAAGTTCAATTTAACTTACCATAGTCTTTCAAAGTACGCCGTAGTTCATCATGGTATTCAAAACTACCATTTGTTCATCGTAGTATTAAAAAAATCCAGTAATTCATTATAGTATCCCAAAGTACTCCATAATTCATCAGTACCCAAAATAGTTCATCACTGTATCTAAATTACTATTTTGAGAATCATAGTCAAAGTACCCAGTACGCCATGATAGTATTTCCCAAAACAACCTAGCTAATCATAGTACCCCAAAGTACCTTGGTATTCATCACAGTATCCCAAAGTACATTGTAATTCATCATAATATCTTATAATAATATTGAAGGATATTATTATTAAAGGGTTCTTGGGAATACTATTTTGAATTAAAGGTACTATGAGATATTATTATTAACTACGGGTACTTTGGGAGATAGTATTGAACTATGAGGTACTTTAGGCTACTGTGATGAAATATGGATTACTTTGGTAAACTATGATAAACAAAAATGTATTTTGGGGTAGTGTGATCAACGAAGGGATACGATACTGAAATAGGGGTACTTTGGAAAATTACTGTAAACTGAGGGGGGAGTATCCATTTGTGAGATTATGATAAACTAAAGGGTAATTCTGGAGACCAAGATGAACTTGGGGTACTTTAAGATTCTATGGTAAACTGAAGAGTATTATAAGAGATTAAATGAAGTAAGGGATTGTGACCTTATGATGAACTAAAGTATACCTTGGGAGACTGTGATGTAATATGGGGTGATGGGAGACTATGATGAAACATGGAATACTCTAAGATACTTTGATTAAGGACAGAGTACTTTGGGAGACCAAAGAATTAAAGAGTACTTTCGGGTACTATGATGAACTCCTGGGTGCCTGGGGAGACTAAGATGAACTACGGGGTGTTTTCAGATACTATGATGAACAAGGTGGTACTTTTGGATATTAGAATAAATGAAGGGTAATCTGTGAGATTAAATATTTACAACGTACTTTGAGATGATGTGATGAACTAAGGGGTACTTTGAGATGCAGTGATGAACTAAGGGGTACTTTGAGATGCTGTAATGAACTGAGGAGTACTTTGTGTTATTCTGATATACTATGGAGATCTAAAAGAGACTATGATGAACTGTGAAGTATTCTAGGAGACAATGATGAACAATGGAGCACGTTTTTTTTCTTTACATATACAAGAGTTCTTACATTCTATTACAGCCACTTGCAAATGTAGCATTTCGGGCAAGTCTTTAATCCTAATTTTCACAAATACACATAATCAGGAAGTAGTCCGTAGCAGCTGTCCAACTCCCAAGTACCTATTTACGGCTAGATGAACACGGGCATCAAGGGGGTGAAAGAAAATTTTGCCATTTGTTTCCGCCTCCGCCAGGGATCAAACCCGGACCCTTAAGTCTACGAGCACCGAGCGCTGTCCACTCAGCCGTCAGGCCCCACGATATTGGTTGAACTACAAGGAACTTCTGAATAAAAGGATGAAATACTAATAATATGATGGATGATTCAACTCGAAGACAAAATGAGAGCATCAAAAAATAGATATAGCAACGAGCTTTACATCAGAGAATATATAAGTAGAATAACATCTCCGGCATATGTGACGCTAATATGATTTGTTCCACCACATACAAGAGACCACCATTAGAGAATGAAACTCTAGTGTTGAGTTGTTGCTAAAACACGTATAAAGCTACAGCTTGACCCTCAGGTAAAACTGGGCAAGTATAATGGAAGTTCCCTAGAGCTACAGTTCGACCCTCAGATACAACTGGGCGAGTGCAACAGCAGGGACCAGGAGCTAGATCTCAGCCCTCAGGAACAACTGGGCGAGTAAGAATCAACACATTATGCCTCACATTAACAAATGTAAACAAATTTAAACCAACAATTGATAAAACACTAAAGTTTTACGAGTATATTACCCCATTATAAAGCCTTAGGAGTATACTACCCCCCCTCCCATCTACAAAGCCTTAGAAGTATACTACCCCATTACAAATCCTTAAGAGTATACTACCACATAAAAAGCTTTAAGAGTATACAACCACATTACAAAGCCTTAAGAGTATACTACCCCATTACAAAGCCTTAAGAGTATACTAACCCATTACAAAGCCTTAATAGTATACTACCCATTACAAAGCCTTAAGAGTATTCTACCCCATTACAAAGCCTTAAGAGTATACTACCCATTACAAAGCCTTAAGAGTATTCTACCCCATTACAAAGCCTTAAGAGTATACTACCCCATTACAAAGCAGTAAGAGTATACTACTCCATTAAACACTGAGAGAAGGGAAACAATGTAGGTAACTTACCTGCCAGGAACATGGCCGTAAGCCCCAGCAGTGAGAGAAGTTCCACGTGAACCATGTCTGCGTCCTCTGCTGCTGTGGGAGGAAAAGGTCAGCACTGCTGCTGTGGTGGGCGGCAGAGGTCACTGTTGCTGTGGATGGAAGAGGTCGCTGTATTTTATTATTGCTAAACACTAAATATATGTACAAAATCTTGCACACGCCCTAAAAAATTAATGAAATTGAAAGCTGTCACAAGACAGTATGGTATACGCGCACCTACAACAGAGACAATGTCCCAGCGCGAGGGAACACTTTACACAACAACGCTCATCAGTTCAGTAAAAGGTCGTCCCTCGAACGGTGCTTAATGTGAGGCTCACTTAACTACGTTATGGTGATGGGCACAAAGATCACTATGATGGGTGGATGATGATGAAGCACCAATATCACTATCATTGGTGGATGATGATGTAGCACCAAGATCACTATTATTGGTGGATGATGATGAAGCACCAAGATCACTATCATTGGTGGATGATGATGAAGCACAAAGATCACTATGATGGGTGGATGATGATGAAGCACCAAGATCACTATGATGGGTGGATGATGATGAAGCACCAAGATCACTATGATGGGTGGATGGTGATGAAGCACCAAGATCATTATGATGGGTGGATAATGATGAAACACCCCAGACAACTATGATGGGTGGATGGTGATGAAGCACCAAGTTCACTATGATGGGTAGATAATGACGAAGCACCAAAACAAAGTGTATTCACCGATCACCCAACAAACCTGGCGTGGGTATTGTCGTCTGGGGCGCTGGGTGCTGACTGTGATGCGGTGCCCTGGCGTGTGTGTGGCGTGGTGCCCCGTCAGCGTGTGTGGCGTGGTGCCCCGTCGGCGTGTGGAGTAGGGCTCTGCTGTGATTACCCCCAACAGCCACGCCCACTCTGCCTCCAAACCCCGCCCTTTCCCATCTTCAATTTCACTGATTGGTTGTAGCTGCCTTCAGCATTAGACTATTATACAACACTTACTCATCCTGTGAACCCTAGCGATAAAGGAATACAGTTATCCTCAAATACATATTTATCGAGGACGTACTTAAATGAGAAAGTGCTAAAAATTGACTTTTTGAAGTTTGTCCCAATTTCAACATAAATTCCAATGATGAACTTATGATTCTTGAACACCGCTCAAATGATGTGTAACTGATTATGTTCGAAAATATTGTCGAAAAGTGTTTTCTCACTTCCTGTGTTCGAAGTGAACGTCTCAAAAATATTTCACTCCCGAAGATTTTGAATTAAAATCTGTGCAGGCTTCGTCTTGAGGCAAAAGCAATGCCTTAAGCCAAACTGATATCCTAGCCTTCCTCTCTAAAATCATATACACCGATGGTTCCGTTCACCACCCTTTTCCCCCCAAACGATGCTGCTGGAACTACAGTTGTCTTAGCAGCTGCAGTTCCTTAATTGCGCTTAACTTCTTAAGGCAAAATTGTATCATGCTTGTGTCTGAATATGTAAATAGATACAATAATTATTCATTATAGCCATTCCATTTATCATTATTCAATCATGCAAAAAGTCACATATCAATAGATTATTCAATAAAATTACCAAACTCCCAGATGTAGCTACTTCTCGGTTTTGGCTCAGTTATAAGTATACGTGGAAGTTTGGACCATCTGCGGATGCATATTTTGCCTAATGTAAACTCTGACAAGAAAATATTTCGCACACTGCAGCACTGTCCTGGAATACGAATAAATTAAAGAAATTTGAGAACTTGATGAGTTATGTATGCATGATTCATAAATACAGTATATATATTTTATATATATTTTTATATATAGGAGGGGTCAAGATCAAGGGGTACCACCACTGGTGCAAGTGTAGGGACCCATAGCCTCGGAGAAGAAAATAAAGAGTACTCAGAGAAGACCTTTAGCTGATCTATTAGAAATGGATCTAAGTTATATAGACCACTGCTAATATTCAAATTACTTTCTTTTGTGATCTGTATCAAAGCAGATATATATATATATATATATATTATATATATATATATATATATATATATATATATATATATATATATATATATATATATATATATATATATATATATATATATATATTAGTATATTTTGGTAGCAGTCTTTCCTGTAGACATATATTATTAAATATGACCGAAAAAGTAAGATTAATAATTCTAACACGAATTTTCTCGATCTTTCTTACGTTTCTTTTCACTGTTGATGGTAATTCAAAGATCAATTCTCCAAAATTAATTTATTATTTCTAGTCTGACGCGACACTTGAGCGCGTTTCGTAAAACTTATTACATTTTCAAAGACTTTAGTTTACAAACACACAACTGAAACTGAATAGAGCTTACACATCTTCGATTTTATATCTACATTTGGGTGAGGTGGATGAGGTGAAAACAAACTTTCAACAATGGGTATTAAATTCAAACACAAGACAGAACATGAAACAATGGGTATTGAATGGATATATATATATATATATATATATATATATATATATATATATATATATATATATATATATATATATATATATATATGTCGTACCTAGTAGCCAGAACGCACTTCTCAGCCTACTATGCAAGGCCCGATTTGCCTAATAAGCCAAGTTTTCATGAATTAATTGTTTTTCGACAACCTAACCTACCTAACCTAACCTAACCTAACTTTTTCGGCTACATAACCTAACCAAACCTATAAAGATAGGTTAGGTTAGGTTAGGTAGGGTTGGTTAGGTTCGGTCATATATCTACGTTAATTTTAACTCCAATAAAAAAAATTGACCTCATACATAATGAAATGGGTAGCTTTAACATTTCATAAGAAAAAAAATAGAGAAAATATAAAATTCAGGAAAATTTGGCTTATTAGGCAAATCGGGCCTTGCATAGTAGGCTGAGAAGTGCATTCTGGCTACTAGGTACGACATATATATATATATATATATATATATATATATATATATATATATATATATATATATATATATATATATATATATATATATATATATATATATGACAATGTCAGACCAATAAAATACCTTGTAAGGAATGTAATAAGTTCTATGTTGGGCAAACATCTAAAGATTTAAAATGTAGAATATCGCAACATAAATACTCTGTAAGACATGGCCAATTGTCTAATGCTTTGTTTGTTCATTTGTCTGAAAAAGCTCACCAAATTGATTGGGAGAGTGCTTCTTCAATAACAAATTGTAAAAGCACCTATAACAGAAACATAATTGAATCTGCTTTGATACAGATCACAAAAGAAAGTAATTTGAATATTAGCAGTGGTCTATATTACTTAGATCCATTTCTAATAGATCAGCTAAAGGGCGATTTAAGTAGGTTCATTGGAAAACATTTGTCTCACAAATTCATTGTATATATTTACCATTTTATGCTATAATTACCTATGTATTGTGCTTGTATGTTTGTTGTATCAGATGGGCCATTGGGCTACATCAGATGGGCCAATTGGCTGCATCTGATGGGCCAATGGGCCGTCTGCATTGTCCAAGTATTGTACCTCACCTCACTTCACCACTCTCTCCTGCCTATTTATACCCATCACTCGATCTGTAAAATCACTCCTTCTGAAGATGTATTAATATACGAAAGTACTTAAGGAAATTCCTGTTTCATTTTTCCTCTGTGGTCTGACATTGTCACATTTTTAATCACGTGTTTAATTTCGTGATATACACACACACACACACACACATATATATATATATATATATATATATATATATATATATATATATATATATATATATATATATATATATATATATATATATATATATATATATGTCGTACCTAGTAGCCAGAACGCACTTCTTTGCCTACTATGCAAGGCCCGATTTGCCTAATAAGCCAAGTTTTCATGAATTAATTGTTTTTCGACTACCTAACCTAACCTAACTTTTTCGGCTACCTAACCTAACCTAACCTATAAAGATAGGTTAGGTTAGGTTAGGTAGGGTTGGTTAGGTTTGGTCATATATCAACGTTAATTTTAACTCCAATAAAAAAAAAATAACCTCATACATAATGAAATGTGTAGCTTTAACATTTCATAAGAAAAAAATTAGAGAAAATATATTAATTCAAGAAAACTTGGCTTATTAGGCAAATTGGGCCTTGCATAGTAGGCTGAGAAGTGCGTTCTGGCTACTAGGTACGACATATATATATATATATATATATATATATATATATATATATATATATATATATATATATTGTGACGGAAAAATGAAGGAGTGTAGATGTTCGGCAGTCCTCCTAATGGCTGGTGTCAATGCCTATCACATTTAAGAAAAAAATGATCGACTGCTTGACTGTTGTCTGTGGGAAAGTAAGGGAATACACGCAAAACACATAGTATGAACAATGAAACTTTAATTAAATTGAAAGCAAATTAAAAACAAAGACAATTCCTTGGCTATGTACAGTGCAAACAAACAAGTCAAAAAATATAACATAAAAATTAAGTACAAGGATGCCGTTACTCTAGACATAAAATAAAGACAAAATGAAATAAACAGGTACTGAGAATATAGCGCAAGCTGGGAACCTCCACCAATAAACAGAGCGTATATCAGTTGGTTGTTCACAGCTTGAGAGCACAAGGATATTCTAACTTCAATGGCTGGTTCAAGCCCAGACATCGACTTGGTAGAGGGCGCTGAGGTGCAGGTGTGCAGTCGGCGGGTAACCAATCAGAAGCAGGCAGGCTGGGAATGGTACTTTGCTGGTTGATGACGGAGCCGGCATGGAGGGAGTGTGGAGTAGGGGGGGGGAGTTTAGGGTACGTTTGCCTCCTGGTCAAAACATTTTGTGCTACTGATAGAGGTATCTTGAAGGTAGCATCTTATTGTTGTATTGTAATAAGTAACTTTATGTAGGGAAGAGCAGGCTCAATCTCTCTTGAAAGAGATTATCGTCACAATATTATATATATATATATATATATATATATATATATATATATATATATATATATATATATATATATATATATATATATAGTATATTTTGGTAGCAGTCTTTCCTGTAGACATATTTTATTAAATATGACCGAAAAAGTAAGATTAATAATTCTAACACGAATTTTCTCAATCTTTCGTACATTATGCTTCACTGTTGGAGGTAAATTAAAAATCACTTCTCCAAAATTCATTTTTATTTCTAGTCTGACGCGACACGGGCGCGTTTCGTAAAACTTATTACATTTTCAAAGACTTCACAAATACACAACTGATTAGAACTTGCGTTTCCCTGATTTTATATCTACATTTCAGTGAGGTGGGAAGGGTGATGTGGCATTACATTTTGAGTAAGGTGGGAAGGATGATGTGGCATTAGAGGATATTAATAGGGTATTAAAAGTATCAACACAAGACAGAACACGAAACAATGGGTATTGAATAGAAGTGTTTGTAGAAAGCCTATTGGTCCATATTTCTTGATGCTTCTATATTGGGGCGGAGTCTTGAGGTGGGTAGAATATAGTTGTGCAATAATTGGCTGTTGATTGCTGGTGTTGACTTCTTGATGTGTAGTGCCTCGCAAACGTCTAGCCGCCTGCTATCGCTGTATCTATCGATGATTTCTGTGTTGTTTACTAGGATTTCTCTGGCGATGGTTTGGTTATGGGAAGAGATTATATGTTCCTCAATGGAGCCCTGTTGTTTATGCATCGTTAAACGCCTAGAAAGAGATGTTGTTGTCTTGCCTATATACTGGGTTTTTTGGAGCTTACAGTCCCCAAGTGGGCATTTGAAGGCATAGACGACGTTAGTCTCTTTTAAAGCGTTCTGTTTCGTGTCTGGAGAGTTTCTCATGAGTAGGCTGGCCGTTTTTCTGGTTTTATAGTAAATCGTCAGTTGTATCCTCTGATTTTTGTCTG